AGACGAATGCGCACGGCGTGAAGGCAACATACGGTTTCGAAAAGGTGCCGCCATCAGTCATCCAAACTGCTGGAAAACGTTTCAGACGAACGTGCACGGCGCTACCGCGAGGTCCACATTTTGAGGTTAGCCAGCGTGGACCCCAAAAAGTCTTTCTAGCAAGATATGTTATGCATGTTTGATGTGCAGTCTAATCAATGTGGTGCACTATGTGGTGCAGTCTATGTGGTGCAACCCACTCTGCGGAACTTGAAGTCGTCATCTCCACTGCTCGCGCAAACATCCCACCCACCCACCCGCAACTTGGTTTGCAAAACCTGTTAAGACCGACTACGACGACACCGACGACAACGACTAGGACGACACCGACGACGTCTCCGACGACTTCGACGACGACAACGACGCCGACGCCGACGACGACGAAGACGACGACGACGACGCCAACGAAGGCGACGACGAGGAAGGAGGAAGGACGACGACGGCGACAACGACGACAACGACGAAGGAGGAGGGAGGACGGTGACGACGCGAACGACGACGAAGGAGGAAGGACGGCGACGCCGACGACGACAACGACGAGGGAGGAGGGAAGACGACGACGACAACGACGACGACGACGGCGACGACATAGGAGGGACGACGATGAGACGCCGACGACGGACGACGACGACGACGTGGGAGGAGGAGGAAGGACGACCACGGCGACAACGACGATGGAAACGACCACGACGCCAAAGAGGACGACGACGACAAACAGGAGAAAAGACAGAGGACGACGTAGGCGACGACGACGACGACGCGGGAGGAGGGAGGACGGCGACGACGACGACGACGACGACGAGAGCGCGCGCGCACGCTTTTGTTGAAAATCCGTGTTGCGAAACCTTGGGTTCTTGTAGGTTTTTTGGACGCACGATTTCGAAATCCTTCCGAAACCGATGGGTTTTGAAGGTTTTCGGCATACGTCCGCGACGACGCGCGCGTCTGCACTTCGTCCCAGTTTTTTGCAGAGGATTCTCGCGACGGCACACGCGCAAGGGCGTTCGACAGATTTCGACATGCGCGCGCGCGAAGCCCGTTTGGTAGCATTTTGTGAAAATCTTGAAAAACCTATGGTTTTCTTAAGATTTCGCAAGAGCTCGCGCGGAAGTTGTTTTAGCAAATCAGTGTTGCGAAACCATGTGTTTTTATGTGTTTCGGAAACTCGATTGCGAAATCCTTCCGGCACCGAAGGTTTTTGAAGGATTTCGGCATGCGCGCGCGACGACGCGCGCGTGCGCATTTCGTCCCATTTTTTGCAAGGGATTCGTGAAAAAGTGTTATGTTAGAAAGAAAAATGTCCCCGCATAGTGTTATTTTACAGGGAACCGCAGGGGGGGGATACCGGCTTGGCTGGGATGGTACGAATTCATATTTAGGATGGACATGTGGTCAGAATCATATGTAATTTACAGCACGCGCGGGGGAGTCGATAAGTCCGGGGGGGGGGGTAGAATCTATTACTCCTTTAGAAAGGAGAATTAATTTGCTGAACTTGAAGTTGTCGTCTCCATTGCTCGAGCAAACATCCCACCCTCCCACCCGCAACTTGGTCAGCAAAACTCACCAGACCGTGGCTGCAAGTACCCAGCGAAGCTTCCTAGCGAGTACCTGACGCCGACGTCCGTGCAGGTTTTTTCGAGGACCTACGGTGCGATTCGTGTGTTTTTATGATACGCAGTGCTGAAATGCTCAAGAAACCCAATGGTTTTTGAAGATTTCGGCGCGCGCGCGCGAAGAAAAAACGAATGTGTCCCGCATGGCATTATTTGACAAGGATTATGCCCCTGGCAGGCGCGCAGCCGTTGTTGAAGAAGTTCGAAGCGCAGGAAAAAGTTGCTCGCAAGAGCCCTTTTGACAGAAATGTTGAAAAAGTAGTGGGTTTCCTAGGAATCCGCAAGAGCGCGCGGGGTGAATGTTTGAAACTTTTTTTTTCTTTGAAAAACCATTGGGTTTTTGATGTTTTTATGTTAAAATCGCTACGAACACTAAGGTTTTGGAAGGATTTCGTCTTGCGCGCGCGAATGTGTCCCGCATGGTATTATTTGACAGGGATTCGTGAAAAAGTGTTATGTTAGAAAGAAAAATGTCCCCGCATAGTGTTATTTTACAGGGAACCGCAGGGGGGGGGGGGATACCGGCTTGGCTGGGATGGTATGAATTCATATTTAGGATGGACATGTGGTCAGAATCATTTGTGATTTACAGCACGCGCGGGGGAGTCGATAAGTCCGGGGGGGGGTAGAATCTATTACTCTTCTAAAAAGGAGAATCCACTTTGACTGTCTTGAAGCTGTCCTCTCCACCGCTCGTGCAAACATCCCACCCACCAACCCGCAACTTGGTTTGCAAAATCTCGTAAGACTGTGACGGTGGGTACCAAACGGCACTTGGCAACGACAGCGACGCCGACGACGACAGCGACAACGACGCCGCCGACAACGACTACGACGACATCGACGACGTCTCCAACGACTTCGACGACGCCGACAACGACGACGACGACGACCACGACGACGACGACGACGACAACGACGACGACGACGACGACGACGACACCGACGACGACGACGCCGACGCCGACGCCGACGACGACGATGACAACGACGACGACGCCGACGTCGACGACGACGACGACAACGACGACGACGACGACGACGACGTCAACGACGCCGACGCCGACGTCGACGACGACGACGACGACGACGGCGGCGACGACGACGACGCCGACGTCGACGACGACGACGACGACGACGACGAAGACGGCGACGACGCCGACGCCGACGACGACGACGAAGACGACGACGACGTCGCCAACGAAGACGACGACGAGGGAGGAGGGAGGACGACGACGGCGACAACGACGACAACGACGACAACGACGAGGGATGAGGGAGGACGGCGACGACGCGAACGACGAAGAAGGAGGAAGGACGGCGACGCCGACAACGACAACGACGAGGGAGGAGGGAAGACGACGACGACAACGACGACGACGACGAGGACGACGACGAGGACGACGGCGACGAAATAGGAGGGACGACGACGAGACGCCGACGCCAGACGACGACGACGACGAGGGAGGAGAAAAGACGACCACGGCGACAACGACGACGGAAACGACCACGACGCCAAAGAGGACGACGACGACGACGACGAACACGAGGAAAGACAGAGGACGACGTAAGCGACGACGACGACGACGACGCGGGAGAAGAGAGGACGGCGACGACGACGACGACGACGCAAGAGCGCGCGCGCACGCTTTTGTTGAAAACCCGTGCTGTGAAACCTTGTGTTTTTGTAGGTTTTGGACACACGATGTTGAAATCCTTCCGAGGCCGATGGGTTTTGAAGGATTTCGGCACACGCGCGCGACGACGCGCGCGTCTGCACTTCGTCCCATTTTTTGCAGAGGATTCTCGCGACGGCACCCGCGCAAGGGCGTTCGACAGATTTCGACATGTGCGCACAGCCCGTTTGGTAGCATGTTGTGAAAATCTTGAGAAACCTATGGTTCTCTTAAGTTGTCGCAAGAGCTCGCGCGTAAGCTTTTTTGGGATGTTTTGGTATGTTTTGAATGTGTCTGAAACCCTGTGTTTTGGTATGTGTTTTGGGAAACTCGATTGCGAAATGCTTCCGACACCGACGGTTTTGGGAGGATTTCGGCATGCGCGCGCGACGGCCTGGCCGAGACGACGGGCGGCGACGAGGCGCCCACGGGGCGGCGACGGCGAGCACATAGCCGCCAGACCTGCAGCCTGGCCGAGACGACGGCCGGCGACGGGGCGGCGACGGGGCGGCGACGGCGAGCACGGAGCCGCCAGACCAGCACCCAGGCCCGGCTCCTGAGAACACAGGCAAGACCCGCGAATCGAGCGCGAGTACTGCCTAGGAAGAAAAAGGAAGCGCCCGCCACCCTGGAGGCTGATGAATTGGTTCATGGTGGATGTGTGCGGAGCTGAGGCGCGAGGCCCATTTTGATGAAACTGCTGCAAATTGTTTAAGACGAATCTGTCCGGCGCTACGGCGACAGTCGTATTTCGTAAACCACCACCACCCGTCCGCCCGTGCAACTGCTGCGAAGTCCAGGCGTCGGGGTGAAAAGAACGGAGGCAGTCTCAGGCGGAACGCCCGGCCCGCCTTACCGACGCCTGGGGGCGCGACAGGGATGAGCTATTTAGAAGGAACAGGGATGGAGGAGCAGGATAAGAAGGAGCACGGTGCTCTGCGCCTCCGCCTTGCTCCCCGTACTGCACCCCGCTCCTTGTTCCTCATCCCCCGCCCCCTCCAGACCGAGCCCTCCTGATTTCCCCCGCCTCAGCACCCCCAAAACGGTCCAGCAACATACCTTCTCCCACCCTTGCGGTATCTCCACTCTGCGGTATCATCCCCACCTCCTCTTTCCCTCATCTTGCCTCCTCTGCGGCATTAGCCTGGTCTCACACTTGTCCCGACGTCAAACTTACTCTACGGTCTTGGCCCTGGGGCCACGCTGCGGGTGGATGAGAACGAGGACAAGGACGAAGAAAAAGAATGAGGTCCAAACGGCCCCCAGATCACCGCTCGGGCACCGCCCTCACCAGTTCTCCGAAGAGGCAGGGCCGCACGGGCCCCAGAGGGGTGCAGACGGAGGAGCCGGAGGGGCCAGCGGCGACTGCCCAGTGCCCCCGACAGCCTTCCGAACACCGCCGCCGACGACGGCGACGGCGGCGGCGACGACACGACTGGAGCGGGCGACGACCACGGCCACGACCAGGGCCACGACCGCCACGACGGCCACGGCAGCCACCACGGCGACCACGACCGCCGCAGGCGGGCCGAGGGCAACCCGAGGCCGCCGATGCCCTCCGAGAGCCGCCGTCAAGCAGACGAGGGCCGCCGGAGGCTGGCCTGCGATGGCCGCTGCAGGCCGCCGTCGGGAGGGCAGGGCGGGAGGGCGAGGGGCGGCCGAGCGGTTCCTCGGCCTTCTTCCGCTGCTGGGCCTCTCGCGGCCCCAGGAGGGGGGGGAGGGGGGCGGGGGGAGGAGCGTGTGTGCGTGCGTGAGCGTGAGCGTGTGCGTGTGCGTGTGCGTGTGCGTGTGCGTGCGCGTGCGCGTGCGCGTGCGCGTGCGCGTGCGCGTGTGCGTGTGCGTCTGGGTGTGGGTGTGGGTGTGGGTGTGGGTGTGCGTGTGTGCGTGCGTGTGCGTGTGGGTGTGGGTGTGGGTGTGTGTGTGTGCGCTGCGTGTTGCGTGTTGCGTGTTGCGTGTTGTGTTGTGTGTTGTGTGCTATATATTGTGTTGTGCGTTGTGCGTTGTGCGATGTGCGTTGTGCGTTGTGTGTGTTGTGTTGTGGGTCGTTGCTGTTGTTGTGTGTGCTTGTTTGTCTGTCTGTCTGTCTGTCTCTCTTCCTGCCTGTCTGTCTGTCTTGTCTGTCTGTCTGCCTGCCTGCCTGCCTGTCTGTCTGTCTCTGTCTGTCCCTTTGTCGTCCGCGTGTCTGCTCGCGTGCTCGCGTGCGCGCGCGTGCGCGCGCGTGCGGCCGCCTGTTTCATCCCACTGCCTGCCTTGGCCAGGCTGCCTGCCCCTCGCTTACGCAGCCCGGCGGTGCGCCGTTGCACTTCCGCGCTGCGCCCGCCCTGCCCCGCCCACTGCGCTCCGCCCCCCGAGAATGCTGCCGCTCCCCCCCCTCTCCCCCTGCCTCCCGGCCCCTCCCCTCGCGGCCCACCACGAGTGACCCCGTCGATCCCCTGGGGGTGTGGATCCCTGGCCCCTGTGCCGCGCGATCCACAAAAAAACAAACAGAGAAAGCCATTAAAAAAACAATATTTAAAAAAAGTTGAAAAAAACAGCGACCCAGAAATAGGAATCTGCGCGCGCGTTCTCCCGCTCGACTGCCCACGCTGCGCCGCCGCGCGCGTGGCCGCGACGCCAAAAGAAATGTGTGCGCGCGGGTGTCGGCCCAGCCTGAGCTTCCCACTGTTGCTGCACCGACGACGTGCTCCTGAATCAGCCCATCCTGGCCTTCCCAACCGTTGCCGAGCCGATCTGGTGCTTGCTGGTGCTCTTGCTGCCAGTCCCTCCAGCCTGAGCTAGGCGCATGGGCCCACCATTTAGCAGACGAAGATGAAGGGACCCTGGGACACACAAATAAATATACACAAATGAAAGGATCCCCCATATGTTCCCATATTTTCTGGGTTTTTGACTTCCCCCCCACTCCCATATTTTCGCACATGTTCCTGGGGGTGGACGATGAAATGTGTCTGTGTGTTTTTACCCTCCTGAGAAGAATGGTACAAAGCAAACTTCTCCGCCGCCGGGGACGCCTGCCCCAGTGCGGTTGGGAACCTTGCATCCTTACGGTGGCACGTCGGGGTACAAACTTCCCAGCTGCCGCGGGGCAGGCGTCCACAACGGCAGAAAAGTTTACGGTGTACCGCTCTTCGTCGGCTAAATCATGGCCGTCCGCGCCACCCTCTTCTCTCTGGCGGCGCGCACAAGGGGGCAGGGGGAGGGCGAAGGCTTCTCAGAGGCACCCTGCTTCTAAAAGGCGCTGGCCCTACATCTGAATAGACAAGGCCCGCGCCTTCTGAAGCCTTCCCCCCTCCCCCCTAAACCCCCATCTGCGCGTGGCCGACTGAGCCGAGCACGTGGACCCATCATGGCCGTTCGCGCCCCCTCTTCTCTCCCAGCGTTAGGTCGGGCATGTCCTCCTACAGGCGGATTTTGGAAGAAAGATCAAACAGATCAAACAAAAAATCAAGCAAGCATCGAAAGAGCATGAAAGGGGGAAAGCCCGACTTGACCCTGCCCCCCCCCCAGCGCGTGGCCGACGGAGCCAGGCGCGTGGGCCCATCGTGGCCGTCCGAGCCCCCCCTTCCTCTCCCAGCGCTCGGCTGCGCCACGAAGACATCTACAGACACCCCCCGACAAAATCTGCACACACCTTCCGGAAGGGCGGAGATGCATAACGTCGCCGGCTTCCGCTGGGGACTTATACACCGCCACCCTCCCCTGGGGCCCAGGGCTTATCCATCGGAGGGTGTCTGGGTATATCTGAATATCTATATATATATATATATATATATATATATATATAATATATATATATATATATTCTATGTGGTAGCGGATCGGCTGCCCTTCCCACCCGCTGGGGCCAGCCGTGCCCCCCCCCCCCCCCCCCTGGCCCCCCCTCTCTGGACCTCTCTGCCCTCTTTCGGCGCCCCCCCGTGCTGCGGAGCTCCAGGTGGGCTTCCTCGAGCGGCGCGCATACCGTCGGCCCGCATCAGAAGGACGCGCGAGAAGGATGCGGGGGCCTTGGACGCCCATCTCGGAGCTTTTCGAGCGGAGCGCGGCCAACAAAAGTAGCCAAGGATGGACCGAGGAGGCAAGGATGCAAGGGTACCCTTGGGAAGGCTGCCCATCCTTACCATGCGGGTTGACTGCATCCATCTCCGCGCCCTCGCGGCCTGCACTCCAGGGCGCGGCCCCGCGGATACACTCCGCGCGGAGCATCCGCAACAAAAACACGCCCCGCATCCGCGGGGTCGCGGCCGAAGGACCGCGACCTGCGAGGCCGCGGCTACGGATGTCTTTCGCCCATGACCCTCGTGTAGCCTCTGTGGGGCGACTGCTGAAAAGCAGTCGCGGCCCCTCGGGGCCCAGGGGTTGGCCAAATCTCGGCGAGAACATCTTGACCGGATCGCGGCTGGGAAGCGGCCAGGGAGCCGCAGCCAAGCCGAAGCCAGGGCGAGGCGGTCGAGAGCATCTCGTCAGCGCTGTCTAGAAGAAGAAGAAGAAGAAGCATCTCGTCAGCGCTGTCTAGAAGAAGAAGAAGAAGAAGAAGAAGAACAACAACAACAACAACAACAACAACAATCATTTTACCCGAACGCTCAGTGTTCTCCCCAGTGCCAGGGTTTTCTTGCGACACCAGCCAATACCCCCACTTCGTGGGGGGGCCGTTCAAGCTCTACCAAATATCCAAACGACTCTTCGAGACCACCCACACCCAGCTTCCCGCCCTATGACGTTGGGACACTTCACTTCGTGGCGTGCGGACGACCCTGGCTACTACACTGGCGTGGGGTACACACCCACAGAGGTTGATCACATCTGTTACATATGATGTGGTACACGGTACACGTGAGATGGTACGCAGTGCCAAGATAGTTGGTCACATTTTTGGGGCAAATTCGTGGGGATGCGATTACAGAAGTACATGTGTTACACTGATGTTATACAGTCCCAAGGATGACGCATGCATTGTTCATAGACTCATGGCGCTATGATCCTAACTCTCAGTGCCCAACGCGCGCGTGCACGTGCCAACCCATTGTGTTTGGCAGGATTTCGACATGCGCGCGCGGCGGCCGCGCGCATGTGCACTTCGTCTCATTTTTTGCAAGGGATGGTGGCCCTCGCAGGCGCGCAACCGTTGTTGGAGAAGTTCAAAGCACCTGAAGAAGTAGCACGCAAAGACCCTTTTGACAGAAATGTTTAAAAAGTGGTGTGTTTCCTATGAATCCGCAAGAGCGCGCGGAAGGACATTTTGACAATTTTTTCTTAAAAAACCATTGGGTTTTTGATGTTTTTATGTTAAAATCGCTACGAAACCTAAGGTTTTGGAAGGATTTCGTCTTGCGAGCGCGAATGTCCACTTTACCTTATTTTTTGCAAGGGATTCTTGAAATTTGATCAACTAAGAACAAGAATTTTCATTTTCTATTGTTTTTTGCAAGGGAAAACGAGCGTCAACAAAAAACCGGATCCGGGGGTAATCCACTTTTCTGAAGCTTTCGCAGAAAAATGATGAAAATGTAGCTGCGGCCTAGGTTTTGGGCGGGGGGCGTGCACCAGGGGGTCCAACAATAATAATTCTTTAGAAGTAATAGTGTTCAACAACAACAAAAACAACAACAACAACAACAACAACAACAACAACAACAACAACAACAACAACAACAACAACAACAAAAACAACAACAAAACTAACAAAACACAAAAACAAAACAACAACAAAAAACGCCACAAGCATAAACGTTTGGCGTTCCGCGCAGATTTATTGGATCCGTGCTGGACCCCCCTCCCTGGCCGCGCCAGGGGCGGCGCCAGCGGCGCCGCCAGGGGGCGCCCAGCGCGGATCCAAGAAATCCGCGCGGAGCGCCAAACGTTTATGTTTATAGCGTGTTTGCTTCTTCGATTGTCATCAGAGGCACTGGCGTTACGCAACGGGGCCCGCTCCACCTCCGCCCCGCACCCCGGCCGCCAGGGCGGCGGCCTTCTGGGCGCTGGGGGAGGCTCTCCCGTCGTGGTGCCCCTCGGCAGTAG